CCCCAAAACCCCAAAACCCCAAAACCCCAAAACCCCTTTTCCTTAACAAAAAGTAGCAAAAATGTACATCAAATTCCCACAATTCTTCTTTAATCTCCTAATTCTCTATTCCAGTCTACATCCGGGTGGCAGTCAGCTTCTGTGGGGAGTGCAAGGGAGGTACAGTGAGAGCTACAGCACAGATCGGAGGGGACAAGGGGATGGCTAAAGCTCGGATTAGGGTGCATTTCTTTGGTGGGCATGGAAGGGTTTGATAAGTGAGAGACCGGGGTTGCAGGGGATTTGTCTTTGGGATTCTCTTCCCGCTGAATTTTATCAGGAAATCTTTTCATTTGGGATAGAGAATCTTGTTGGAATTTAGTGGTTTCGTTCAAAAAGTTGGAGTGGATTTTGTCTGATGTCATGTAGGGAGAGTGGTGGGTATCGATGCTTCCTTTATTTCACAGGTTTTCGATTATTGGGATGTTTTGTCATGTGTTGTTTGAGTCGGATACTCATTTAGAGCTTAAGTTAGAAGCAGTATTTTCATATTTATCTAAGCTTGAGGAGTTCTTTTCAGAAAGAGTAGCATTTTCCTCATACTCCTCTGGAATATCTCCAAGGCTCATGTTAAGATATTTGGATTCGAGATTAATCAGCTCTTCATATCACTTGAGCTCAATGGCAGGGTCTGGCATTGAAGGTGATCTTTCTCTTGAATTATGAGTTCCTTCACAACTTTCTTCGAAGCTTTCTTCATGGTTCTCTTCATGATTATCTTCAATGTATTCTTCATTACCTTCTTCATTTCCTTGTTTATTACCTTCTTCGTTACTTTCTTCATCACTTTCTTCATTATCTTCCTGTTTCTCATCATCCAAAACTTGAATATTATTTACCTCATTTTGAGAGAAGGAAGCTAAATCACTTGATAATATCTCATCTTCCAATAAATTCTGAAACCCTGAATTGTCATCATCAGGAGTTTGAAGTATATCAGAGAGGTCTATCACTTTCTCGTTAGGTTGCACGGAAGAATCATCTGATTGTATCTCTAGCTGTGGATGTTTTAAAATTTCAGCTGTATGAGCTCCATTGGATTCCTTAACATTTCTCCCTTTTGTTTCAGGAGTTCTAAAGCTAATATTCTTAGTTTCTGACATCTCTAGACTTAAGTTCTTTTTCCGAATATGATTAGCTATTTTTCTAATCGTATTCTGATCTGTTGGTCTGGTAGTCAGGGGAATTGCAGAAATCACACTTGAATTCAGCTCTATACAGTTTAATAGCACAACTTACTGTTTGCATTAGAATAGGTCAAGATTCGATTAGCGCTTTCAAGTTTGGAAATTATCTCATCTCTATTATTAATTTCTTGCTGTAAAACCAGTGTCTTTTTCTGTAGCTGGTGTATCTCAAATTCAATATCTTCATGGACCTTATCGTATCAGCTAAGAGAGCTTGTAATATTCTCCAACTCGCTTTCTTCAAGACTTCTGTGAGTTTTAAATTCTTTTATAGCTGTTTTTACATCAACCTAAAACATGTGAAATAAATTCATACAGCTTGAGTGGTGTTAAATGCAAGTTCTTTAGTATCATAACCCCCATTGTCGCCTTTATCTGACAGATCACTTATAGGGATGTTATTCTCTTGCAGCTCATCAATGACTTGGACTTCAATGTTTTCTCTTTGAGAATGCAAAGATTTCAATTTATCAACACCTCCTCTAATTCTACCCTGCAGAGAGCTCATTTTATTTATCATGTTTTTGATAGAAGATTGTGAATTTACCATTTGCATTGATTCTTCAATCTTCACACTCATGGAGCTATAAGCAGCAAGCTTTTCATCGATTTTAATGTCCTGCTCAAGCTTGAATAATTCTAACTGGTTGATATATTCATTCTAAAGATCAGAGGAGGCATACCTCTTGTATCATAAACATTTCTAATAGATCACGTCAAAACTCATCGGCAAGAGCTTGCACTTGTTTTATCAAATCATGGTTCCCAGAAGTGTACTGGCAGAGGTCCTTTTGGATCAGATTTTCAAAATTATTGTGAAAAGCTTCTAGTTTCTCTTGCAATGAAGAAGCCCCTCCCTTTTGCCGTTGACGGATTCACTTGAGTTTGCTGATTTCGCTTGAAACTTTGTCAAAATTCGCTTTCAAGGTTTTGAAGCACTTTTTATTCTTATTAATTTGTTTGCTGATTCTTTGTTTAAGAGTCAAATCTTGAGATATTTGGGGACTCCCAAAGGTTAGACGATTTGTGTTTCAACTAAAGCACAGATAAGCACATTGATAAAAAGCTAATTTGGATTTTTAAGGCATAATTTAGAAGCTGCACCTTGAACATTTTAAGTAAATCATTCTGAATTTTAATAAAAATATTGACCTAGATCAACCAAAGTAAGGTCTGAAGAAGGACCAGGTTGTCACTTGAAGACACTTAATAGAATTCTGAGATTAAAGGGCTTACCTTTGTGATGCATTTTCCAACTTTAGGTCCATTTTTGGCTAATTATTACCGGTTTTATTAAATTTATTGGGTGAGGTAGGGGTTTTGGGGTTTTGGGGTTTTGGGGTTTTGGGG